GCTATTAATATTCAATCAACGTGTTTTTTGCATAATTGATATGCTCGACGATCTTTACACCCGAAATAGTTTAGATCCACATAAAATGTCTAAATCATATTTTTCCATTAAATTTAATAGCTAAAATATTTTTTTTTCTTCAATTTTACTTAACAAAAGTACGCAGAAAGTTTAAATTGAAAAAAATATTAATTTAAATTGACAAAATTAAAAATTTAAGATTTATTTTGTCACCCTGAGACTTTTTCTGTAATTTTTCCAATTATAAATTATCTTTTGTGATTTTGAAAAATTAGAAATATTTCTTTATCATAATTTTTTGTTGGGTAAATTACATTGACACGCCATGAGGTTTTTGTTGATTACAATTCCTCCCCTCATCTTTTGAAAATTACATCCCCCTCCCTGAAGTTTAAAGTTTCATTACGAATTATCCCATGAGGTTCAAAATTTCATAACAGTTCCCCACTCACCGTAATGATCATCATACATAAAATTAAATTAACAGGGGGTCAGTGTAATTTTTCAAATATGAAGGGAAAACTGTAATAAACATAAATTTCAGGAGGTGTCAGAATAATTTACCCTTTTTTATTTAACAAAGTTGACAAAAAAATAAAATTACTATCCTCTTATACAAATATAAAATATATTATTTATATCATTAAAAAACTGTAAAGTTAATTGATGAAAAAAATTATTCGTATAATTTTTAAAATTATGGAAGTCAATAATATATTAATCCAATCTCAAAAAAATATATTTGTAATTACCCATTAAATCCTACTTATCTCTGCTAATACTTACAAAAATCAGATCTCACTGCTTATACAGCATAGGATCATCGAATTAGCAGGCATCCAAACAAATTATAATGAAGAGTGTAGGATTGAAATAAGACCTGCCCACTTAGAATGAAAATTCAAAATGCATTTGGTATTTGCATCTTTCAATCCCAACCATCACCATAGCATCCTAAGGAAAAGACAATAGATTTGGGATATATTTGACTTACTATTTACAAGGGAAATCAAGAAAATATACATAAAATTATCTCTATAAAAAAAAATTCAAAATTTTCAATTCAAATAATTAATTTAAAAAGAGTAATTTACACCACAATAATTAATTTTAACAAGTCTACAGACAACTACCCACGTAAAATAATGAAAAAATTGCATAAAAGTGAAAAGTTTACAAAATATTAATATATTAATAAAAAAATTATAAATTTAATTATATTAATATTTATAAGATTTTTAAGGGGTATTTTTTTTAAGATCCCTGATATTATGATTTTATAGTATAAAGGACATCAACTATTTTCATGATGTCTAAGGTCCCTCAACATCAATCTAGAGAAAATTCAATCCAGAGAAATTCTGGTCCAGAGAAATTCTGCCCAGAGAAATTCTCTGAGTTGAAAATGTTGAGAATAGATTGATGACAATTCTGGGAAGGAAATGATTATGAAGGGCAAAGGCTGAATGCTTGCATGATGATGGGGACAATCAAGTAATCAAACCCAACAATCAGAGAGAGAGAGAGAGTATGCATAAGCAGTTCAATTTTGACAGTTGGAAGCAAAGCACTAATCCAAAGTTTCAAACACAAACACCTCCTTTCTTGGAGAATAGGCAAAATATGTCTTCTATTACCTTGGTAGCTGAGAAAGAGAATGCTGGAAAGGAATTTAAATTGGAGAACTAAAAATTCACAAAACTGTTCGAACCACAGAAACATGCAGTTCTTCCCAGATCAGGTTGATTTGTCTTTTGGATCCTCATCTCCAATCAGATTGTCGTAAGTAACAGGTACCCTCATTCTATCATGAACAGATACCCGTTTCCTTTCAGCATCGGACTGCTCAAGTTGGTTTTGCACATGAGCTTTCGCCCGCCTGCTCTCAGCAACAAGTTACAAAATTCTCTGGTTTGGTTGGACTGAATTTTCTCTGGGTTGTTGGATTGAATTTTCTTTGGGTTGAACCTAGAGAAATTTGAACTTTCTCTGGGTTGGACGTGTATATAAGAACCAGTTTGTGTGTATACTTTTAAAAAACACTTTTGTAAAATTCAAGGATTTATAACAGAGGAGGAATAGTAGGTATAGCATATCAATCAACATAAGAACTACAAATTTACAAGAGGATTTGGAAGTTTCATGAACATGCATGATAACTAGCTATATCAATATTACCTCTCCAAAGAAACTTTGAAATTTCTCTGGATCCTTTGAATAATTTTTTAATGCAATACTTAACCGTTATAGCCACTGTATACAGATGCAGTTGAAGTTCACCAATCCAGAGACACTAGTTAGTCGCAATCTCAGAAGCATGCAAGGGGGCTTTCACACAACAAAACCAAAAGACAGATAAATACATATTTCTAGTTTAAAGCCCTTCAGGGTGGCTATAATCATCCATTACACTTTAAACAGCCGCAACTCAAGGAAATTGGCCATCTTCTCTATTCTCCCGGCTTCGGCATAGCCTTCTTCACAATTTCTCTAGTTTGGTTGGTTTGAATTTTCTCTGGGTTGTTGGACTGAATTTTCTCTCGGTTTGATGTGTGTAAAAGAACCAGTTTGTGTGTATCAGAATAATTAGAGGGAGCAGGATTGACTATAGAGGTGAGTAACCTAGACTCCAATGAATTGGATGAATAATCCCATTTCCGATTCAGGTCTGAAAAAGCAGAATCTCGGGCAATGGAAACAACAGTATTCTGAGGAGGAGTCCCTCCAAGCACAGATGGAAGCATGTGATATCGCACAATCCCCTAATCTAGACAGCAGATCCTTTGACAAACTACATATTTCTGAAGGTGCAATTGTTGGCACTGCCCCTGACAACTCTAGAGAGGAAAAGGCCGATAGTATTCCCTATTCTAGGAAGAATCTGACACTTGAAACACTCTTTGGGTCTGCTTTCATGAAGGAGCTGCAATCAGCTGAAGCACCAGTTTCCATCCAAAGGGGCTCGGTTGGTTCTGCAGGAATCGATATTTCAGAACAGTAAGGGCTACCTTTTGGAATCATGGATGATACTCTCTTTCCAACTTCCACAGTTGACAAGGGAGACGAGCTGCGAAGAGAGAGAGAGTTGAGCTTGTCGCAGGATTTGGAGTTGAGGAAGGAGAGCAACTGGTCAAGGGTTGGGGATTTGGAGCCAGCGATGATCAAGCTCAGGACAACGTGGATGGAGAAGGGATGGGGTGAGGGACCTTAGACTAAAAAAGAACACATTGTGGACCTAATCCATTACTAAAAATTAGATAGGGACCTTAGACCGATTTTTTCGATTTTTAATTGATTTATAATTTGTTTTGAAAAACTACAATGATGAGTACTTTTTTGTAAAATAATCCTAATCGTACATTGGATTCCTCCATTGGGCAATGTTAAGAGGCGTATTATATCCAAATTATCATATTTGTAGAGTTAATTATTATAAATATTATAATTTAATCTTATTAGAATCGTAAAGAGACAAATTCTAATATGCCTTCTAAAAATAATATACGATATATATCATTAATTATACTATTTTTTTAATTATGAATAATTTTTTTAATTATAAAATTATTTTAACTATAATTTATGAATTTTTTAATTTTACCTAATATTATAATATTATATTTAATTATAATATTCTTTTTAGGAAGATTTATTAAAAGATCATTTTTCGAGTGTTTATATCCTAATTAGAACATAAGATATTTTTATATCCCAATAAATCTTATTATTTGAATAGTTAAACTACCAAATCTTAATTCTCGTATTTAAAGAATTTTATGAATATTTCTATCCTTATAAATATTTTTTGAACGATTAACAATTTTGTGATGTGAACATTCATATTTTACAATATAAATATTCACATTAACGTCTGAATGTTTACATTAATAGTATGAATATTCACATTGATATGTTAACATTCACATTGATAATATTATCATTCACATAAACGGTGTGAATATTCACATCACAAAATGTTCACACTATAAATGTGAATATTATTAAAAATATTTTAATAACTATACCACTCATAAGACTTAGGAATTGTTTGAGGTGTCCTAAATAAGTGTACTTTTTATCTTTTTTAGACTAAAAAATTGAGGTTGAAAATATGAATGTTTGGGTTAACTTTTTGATTTTTTATGAAAAAATGTATAATAAAAAATTATAAAAATTGATTTGTAGAGAAAAATTCAAATTGAAAGTTGTACAACCGTAATTGTTGACTTTTGGTGATAGTGTTAACTTTTTAACTTTTTGAATAATTTTTTGACTTTTTAACTTTGTTACAAGTTTCCAAACTTGACCTTATTAAAATATAAAAAAAATACCCTTCTTTTTAATTATAATTCAAAAAATTAAAATTATATTATTTTTTTAATTATAATACACATATAGTGCACATCCTTTAAACAAATATCCATTTAAAAAAATATATGTACACCATAATACTACACTTTAAAAAAATATATAAATTATCAAACACTATATATAACAAAATAATAATAAAATATCACAACCAAAAAAAACAAGAAACAAAAATGGTGCTCAATACCCGGAATAAAAAGGTATATACTCATAACTTAATAAAAGTTCCATTACTCAAATGACGAACTAAAAAAATTCGAATTGAAAGTTGTACAACCGTAATTGTTGACTTTTGGTGATAGTGTTAACTTTTTAACTTTTTAAGTAATTTTTTGACTTTTTAACTTTTTTATAAATTTGCCTTATTAAAATATAAAAAAAATACCCTTCTTTTTAATTATAATTCAAAAAATTAAAATTATATTATTTTTTTAATTATAATACACATATAGTGCACATCCTTTAAACAAATATCCATTTAAAAAAATATATGTACACCATAATACTACACTTTAAAAAAATATATAAATTATCAAACACTAGATATAACAAAATAATAATAAAATATCACAACCAAAAAAAACAAGAAACAAAATGGTGCTCAATACCCGGAATAAAAAGGTATATACTCATAACTTAATAAAAGTTCCATTACTCAAATGACGAACTTAACTTTAGACAGATGAAAAAACTGAGCATAATTCTAGCAAAATTCTCTTTGAAGAAGAAATGAAAACCCTTGGAAGGCTCTTTAATAGCACATGAAAAACCAAAGGACTTTCTCTCTCTCCCATACAAATGAATCAAGCTCACTCATCTCTTTCTATATTAATAAACAAACAAACAAATAAACAAAACCACTCTCAAGAACTTAATCAAATGTTCTTGATATACATTTCTCTCCCTAAAACTGTATAATATAATATAGTCATAATACTAACACTCATTCCTACTAGCTGCAAAACTTATAGGCATGCTATATTGAGGGGTCCATCCACCCAAGCAAACTCTTCATTTCCAAGCTCAAAATCAAAATCAGGAAGATCACTTGGTTCATTGTCTTCAAACCCAAAGATTTGAAGATCATCAAGACTCCCAAAATCATCAAACAGATGTCCAAAATCATCGATAAACAGCGAATCAAGCTCCATCCCAAGATCAAGCCCTTCCCCAATTTGAGCCATCAATGGCTCCTCATCCACACCACCAACAGAACCAGAACTGCCCACAATCTTCTCACCATCACTCTTCTCAATTTGAGACACCAATGGCTTATCCACCACAACATTGGTCCCAATTTTCACTGTTCCATCACATTTTCCATTTATCTGTGTATCTGAAATCGAAGCCGGAGAGTCCAATTCAAGGACTGAAAATGGAGATGTGTGAGACAAGCTCTCGGATTCCTCAGACACAGCAGACTGAGAAACAGCCACTGATTGAGTGCTTCTCTCGGACGCCATGGCCGCGAATACGAGCTTTTTCGTATCGTAGGCCTTTGCGGCCTCTTCGGCGGTGCTGTAAGTGCCCAACCAGAGCCTCTTTCCAGTGAAAGGGTCTCGAATCTCAGCAGCCCATCTCCCCCATTTTCGCTGTCGAACACCTCTGTATTTCGACCCAGATGGTCTCCGTCGATTTGGATTTGGGGTTTTAGCTAAAACCCTTTTCTTTTTTGGGGCTTTTTCTCCATTGTTGTTGTTGCTGTCTTGGCATGAGCTCTCTGTTTCAGGAGCTTTAGGCCGATTCGAATTCGACCCACCTACAGGAAGGATAATCTCTTGAACAATACGTTTTCCGCATGGTTTTTCACTCATCTCGTCGTCTGATGAATCTGTTGCATACGGATCGTAACAGATTATTCGGATTCTCTTCGTTTTGGAGGGTTCTTCGGAAGAAATCGACTTGGTTTTTGATTTCTTGGAGTGATTGTTTTGATTCGATTGTGGATGTGATATGGGTTCTGGCATTTTCTCTTAAGTCGATCAAAAACCCCTCAAAAAAAATACCCGGAAAAACTTGTTTGGAAGAAAAGAAAAGAAAAGAAAATTTTAAGGAATGAAAAAAAGGGGAATCTATCAGGAACAGAGGTGGTGTATCAAGTAAGAGGCCCTCTAAAGAACAAAAAGAGAAAGAAAAATCGTTTTATGTGAAAACCCCCAAAACACTCTACTCCAGAACAAGTCCTGCAAATCATAAACACAAAACCCCAGTTCAGAACAGTCCACAAAACCATCAAAAAACACACAAAAGCTTGAAATATATGCAAAAAACAAAAAGGGTTTAAGAAAAAATTGTACCTCTTTGGCCTCAAACGCATCGAAACAGTTGGGAAACAGAGATTGGTCCTCTGCTGGTCAAGACAGCAGAGTTGTTGCAAGCACAAAGCGAAGAACACAGAAGTGAATGAAATCCAGAGCTTCAACTGAGCCCCAATCAACGCCGATTCAGACTCTGCCGACATATATCTTCTATCCACAACTGACCTTTCCACAAAACCCTTTTGCAGAGTTCTTGGTCTAAAAACAGAGACGAAGAGCAAGAGAGATCAATGGTCACTCATACACCTATATATATATATAGACACAGGATTAGGAATCTATGGCTACGATTTCTCGATTATAACGGTGACAAAGATCGGCTTATAATTATTATCGATTTTGCAGATCAGTGTGATGGTTCAGTTGGTGTGTTGCATATATAGAGAGAGAGAAAGAGAGAGTATAATGTTCTACTCTACAACAGACGCAAATCTCCATAAAAAAAAACTTATCAAAGAAAATTATAAAAATACATATAAAATTTTGAAAAATTTACCCATAAGTCTTAATTTTTGAAAAAGTTGAATCATTTAGTCTTAAAAATTTTCTTATACTTCATTTAGTCCCATTTGCACATTAATTTAATGTTCGAAATATTAATCTGATGTTCGAAAGCTAATGTTCGAAACATTAATCTGATGTTCAAAATCTAATGTTCGAAACATTAATCTGATATTTGAAACATTGTAATGGGACCTTTCAGTCTATAAAAAAACTTTTAGAACTAAACAGTATATAAGTTATTAATTTGAGATTTATTGGTGTATCCCCTAAAATTTAATCAAAAACCCCTTCTAAAATTTTATCGAAAACCCAAAAAAAAAAAAAAAAATTTACATACCTCGTCAGTCTCTCTCTCTCTGTTTTTTTTTCTCTCTCTTCACGTCTCTTTCTTTCTCTCTCTTGATTTCTTTTTCTCTTTGCCGGTTCAACTTTTTTCAAGCGGTCAAATGTCTAATATATATAGGGGATGTTTGGTAAGAAAAAAAATAGCTTAGTTTAGGTTAAAATTCACAAAAAGATAAAATAGGTTACAATAGTTAATAGGACAAAATATCACATCAATCCATAATTATTTCACTTTTTCTCTGATAAACATCACATCCAACCACAAAAAAATCTAATCATTTTTTCAAACACAAAAATTTTAACCTACTAAAATAAGTAAAACATATAAATATATATAATATAAAGACAAATTACACTCACTTTTCTTTAAATTTTAAAAAAATATAACTAATTTTATAATTTTAATACCATAATTATTTTTATACTTTTTTATAATAAAATTAAAAGGACTTAAAACTAATATATATGGTATAAAAGATACAAAATATATATTTTATTATAAAAATGATGATAATATTTTTTTATTCATATAATTAACAATTTTTTTTTATAAAAAGTAAATCATATGTTATATGAATTAAATTTTTTAAAAAAATTACTATAATTGAATTAAGTTTATAAAATTTATTATATTTTTTTTTGTAATTTATTCATAATATAGTAAATAATGCATTTAAAATAAATGTGTATATATTGATGAGAAGGAAATGATAAAGATAATGAGCTGTATGATGGACATGCATGATGCATGACTATACCATCCTCGTCATGTATGTGATAGCATGGACCTGCCGTTTTTATTTGAAAGACGCGTTCTAGGTGCGTGGATAGCACTCTCAGCTTGATGAATGACACGTCATTAGATCTGGTCGTTCTGAATTGACCGTGATTGCACGCACTTAAAGGAGAGTAGGGTAAATTACTCACTTTGCTGGTTTGGGGGGTAAGTTTAGAAAATCGCGCGAATAGGGAACCAACGATTACAGCTGTAATTTTTTGGGTCAATATTGGGCCTTAGGTTCTTCATATTTGCAAAATTGCCACGACGAACGCCTGCTCGCCAAGTCAAATCACGTAAGACCCCAACTAGGAAATTTATTTACTTCTCGACCCAAATTATGAAATTAAATATTTTATTTTTATTTTTTTAACTTCTATTTGTAGAGTAAATTCATGGCAGGAAAACAATTTGGAAGAGTCCTGATATAGCCCCGTACTTTTTTACAGCTTAGGCTACGAGGTTTTTCGAATATGGTTAAAAATTAGGGCAAATCGCATATACCTTTTTGGATTTAGTTAAATTGCAGATAGTCTCTTGAGATTTTAGAAATTATAGATACCGTCTTGAGGTTTATGTTTTCATAACAAATTGTCTCCTGAGTTTTATATTTTCATAACAAATTACCCCATAATTTGTTATGAAAATATAACCTTCAGAGGGGTATCTGTAATTTTTCTAAACCTCAAGGGGTATATGTAATTTGCCCAAAAACTTAATTTTTTAATTTTTTTAATGGCCCTGTTTGGTACAGCTTAATTTCAGCTTATTTCAGCTTTCAGTTTAATTTAAGCTATTTTGATGTGTTTGGTTTAGCTTATAGCTTATAGCTTATAGCTTTGTGGAAGTCAGAAAACAACTTATTCTTTGAGTGGGGCAGGAGATGCTTTAAGAATAAGCTGGAAATCAGCTTAAGCTGAAAGTTATAAATTATAAGCTGTTTAGGTATAAGCTATAAGCACTTTCCCACAGCTCTACCAAACAGGGCCATAGCCCGTACTTTTTTACAGCTTAGGCTACAAGGTTTTTCGAATATGGTTAAAAATTAGGGCAAATTACGTATACCTTTTTTGAGATTTAGTTAAATTATAGATAGTCTTTTGAGGTTTCAGAAATTATAGATACCCTCCTGAGGTTTATATTTTCATAACAAATTGTTCCCTGAGTTTTTTATTTTCATAACAAATTACCCCCTAATTTGTTATGAAAATATAACCTTCAAAGGGGTATCTGTAATTTTTCTAAACCTCAAGGGGTATATGTAATTTGCCCAAAAACTTAATTTTTTAATTTTTTTAATTTTTTTTAAAAAAATATATGTAAAAAATATAAGAGGTAATATGATTTAAAATGAGTTAAAAGTTGAAAAGTAATTTTTAATCTACTTTCCAAAAGAAGCCTATATGTAAGATATTATTTTGGGCTAAAATAGCCATATAAGATAAAATTTGTTATTTTAGCCAAATAAGACAAAATGTCACATATAACCCATAACTATTTTATTTTTTCTTTAACAAAAGTCAAAAAAATCAAAAAGTCTATCTCAAACGAGACTTTTAGCCTTAAACTAAAATAGTAAAAAAATCAAAAAGTCAACTCACATCTCAAACGAGGGCTTACTCACAATAGAAATAGGTCCCACATCATAGAATGTGACTCATTTTTATTGTGAATAGGTCCCACATCATAGTGAGAAATGTTTTGGTATACAATGTACATCGTATGTAACTCTATTACAAAATTACATAAATTTTTACAAACTTATCTAAGTGATCTTAAGAAAATACTTAAAATTCACATATTTGTATTCAACTTATGTAATTTTGTGGTATTGTTACAATTGTACACCAAAGAATTTTCCTATAAGTGTAATCTTACTTATATAGAAACTCAATTATATGTTAAAAAAAGTCTAACCATAGAGGGGTAACTTCTGGAGTTAGACCCTAAGTAGTCAAGCAGGTCTCTCGATCATGTAGTGATAAATCGCAGACTTGCGCACAGGTGGGAATTTGAATTCACACTACTGTTACTAAGTACAGTTCACTACATGTGCCGTCGCCCCGAGTAACTGGCTTCGAAAAAAATGGAACTTGAGATCTCAAGACTTATGCCTTAAGGCTTTAGCAAGTTGCCACAACTCCTTGGGTTAAATTATAAATTATCAAAGCTAGGTTATGTTATAGTATGTGCACAAAATATGTTTTGTTTTTAAAAAGAAAATATATTGAAGATCATTTCTTACTGCCTATTCACAATTAGGGCTGCAAATAAACCGAACTATTCATGAACAAACTCAGCTCGACTCGGCTTGGTTCATTTAGTAAAAGAGCCGAGCTCGAACTTGAATATTAGGCTCATTTAGTAAACAAACTGAACTCGAACTCACATAAGTTTGATTAGTCAAGTTTAGCTCGTTTATCTTTATTCTGAGTCGAGCCAAGTTCGAGTTCAATTCCTTATCGAGTTGAACTCGAACTCAATAAACGAGTTCCATAAAAAAACGAGCGAGCTCGAGCTTGAGCTCAACAAAGATGAACTTGACTCGACTCGACTCGACTTGATTCGTTTGCAACCATATTCACAACAAAAACGAATCCAACATCACAATGTAGGGCCTACTCTCATTGTGAATAGATAGTAAAAAATATATACAACTATAATCTTATTAATTTGGAAACCCAATTCTATATTATGGTATGTGCATAAAATATATTTTGTTTTTGAGAAAATCTATTGAAGTCCATTCCTTGATTGTCATTAACATTCCATAATAGTACTTCCACAGAATCTGTAATCTATTAATTTCATTAAATTGTCTTTATTATTAAAATATTGTTATACAAGTCTAAAAATTAGACAAAATTTTTAAGTTTAATGATGTAGTAATCAATTAGATTATTTAATCATCAACCAATCATATCACTTACACATTATTGAGTATAGAAAATAAATCTAAAAAATATACTTGTATATCATTTTCCAGATGTTAAAAAAAGTCTATCAAATTATATATCATTTTTAGTATATTTTCGTATTTTTATGTATTTATTAATTTTTTAAAATATTTTTTCACAAATATTTTACTTTTAGATACATCTAAATAAAGTATATCTAAAAAAGTAAAAAAATTACTTAAAATTTAAAAAATATTCACTAAAAACAAAAAAAAAATGCGAAAAATAAAAAATTCAATTTTTAAAAAATTGAAACCAAACACACTAATAAGTAAATTTTTTTTTATATACTATTTACATGAATTTTATATTTCTTACTATGTTATTGAGAATTTGCAATTATAATAATACTTATTAGGGTAAATTACATTGACACCCTCTGATATTTATGTTTATTACAAATTCCCCTGTCACCTTTTGAAAATTATATCTCCCTCCCCGAGGTTTAAAGTTTCATTATAGATTATTCTCTCAGTGACTGTTAAGTCAACTAACAGATTTTGCTGATGTCAGCAATTTAATTTTTTTAAATATCAAATTTTCCCTCACGGGGTTAATTACATTGACATCCCTCACATTTTAGAAATTATAATCCCCTCCCCAAGGTTTAAAGTAGCATTACCAATTGTACCATCGGTTAGTATTAGTTGAAAAAAAAAATTTATTGGAAAAAAAATTTATTGAAAAAAAATTTTGTTAGTCAAATTTTAAAATTTTTGTTTAAAAACCAACGTAAACTCATTTTTAAAATTTACATTTTTTTTTCTCAAATTTACAAACTGAGACAACCATTTATAAATCAAAAAAATTATCAAACAAGTTTTTATAACAGTTTTAA